GGTACACGCCCAGTGCAGAGATGGAGGGGGGTACACGCCCAGTGCAGAGATGGAGGGGGGTACACGCCCAGTGCAGAGATGGAGGTGGTACACACGCAAGTGCAGGTGTTTTTTGGAGTAAAAGCCCAAGAACACTTCACAAGAGACCCAGCAGAGCGCATCACAGGACACCCCTGGGGATTTTGAGACCCACTGCCTGGGGCAGTCTCTGCCACCTTGGGAACCTCCAACACAGGACAAGTCCAGAGACACATCACCGTGTGGTGAGGGCTGCCAAATCGCCCCTTCCGGGGTGGGGAGGGCAACAGTGACTTTCATTTTTCTCTTATCAATATTTGAACATTTTACAACCAAAATAGAACTTGCATAGGATTCAGAAGAAGGAAACTTACCAATGCTTTAACTTGTATACTGTCTCAATTTAACATATTTCAAAATTTCAAATGATAAGACTTTTAAAAGTTTATCAAAAGAGGCTCAGGTTTAGAAGGCTGAGAGTTCTGCTGCACATGAAACTACAGAAAACAGCCTCCGCCTCAACACAGGAATGACCCCTCTAGTCTATGTCTGTCCTCCCATTCTGTGACCTTGACAGCAGGTGTTCCACAAGTTCACTCCTAAGTACAGACCCCACAACTAGTGGCTGGCCCAGGGAGGCAGGGCCTGGATGCAAAGATAGAAGTGGGAGGGCTGGGGACGAGGGGAACCACCACACCCCTCATCAGACAGACAGCAAGCTGCGGGAGACCTCCCCCAAATCCTTGCTCTGTCCCGTAGAGGACCAACAGACTATAATACTCAACAGATGCCTCCCAAGAAAAAGAGACACAGTGCTAGTGAATTTGCAAATTTATATAACTCAGGAAAATAAATCCTGGCCACCCAGTATTCCTCCAGAAAGTCAATTCTTTGGATTACATTATCAGAACATTATCAAGAAAGTTGTATTTCTGAATTATTTGTATTTATAAGTTCCACCAGAATTTCCAAGGCCCTGAGGAGATAGAGCAGTGGCCCACACCAAATTAAACCAGGATTTCTGGAAGTGAACTTTGGTTTGTTTTGTGGTATCTCTTAGATTTATCAAAGATGCTTAATAACAGAATCGACACAAGATACAACACTTATAAAAAAGAGAAGATTCTGAGTTCCAAATAGTAACTATGACTTCTGGAAACAAGTGAGGTTTAACATTTTTCTACTCCATTAATAAACATGACACAGCAGATGCTGCCCTATGTGGCCTGACCCATGACCCTCCACACGGTCTTGGCTACTTGGGAACACAGTCTAAGCGCTGGTCCCAAGGAGACAGTGAGCTACTCTGACAGCTGGACACAAGCTTCCGACTGCAGGCCAGTGGCAAGCTTGCTGCCCAAACGGAAACATGTGTGATCAGGAAACCACCTGTCCACCCTAAAACACTCCAGGGAGCCACCAGGCCAGCCAGCCTCTGACACTCAGCCTTCAGGGGAGGCAGGGAGGAGGCCTCAAGGGAGGAGAGGTGTTGTGCTGACTCAGACCTTGGCCCCAACTGCCCACCAGAAGACAGAAAAGAGTCCACACACCCAATTAAGTCAAAATTTCTGGAAGTGGGGCTTTTTGTCTTTGGTTCTGTGCAAGAAGCTCTCTGGTGATTCTAATTTGCAGCCAAGCTGAGAACCAGCCATGGCCCCAACGCCTATGCCCATCCAGAGGTCAGTTCCCAGTGAAGACAGAGAGGAGACCAGGCAAACAAGTCCCCTCTGCACGTGAGCAGGAAAAGTTACACTGGAAGGGGACGCACAGGACAGCCCCACAGGACACGTGTGTGGCACGTGATGAACACATGAAAGAAAACATTTTGAAATTCTAACTCCTGGGAAAGAAATGCTTGTTTTTCTCAGTATTTTTCCCAAACCGATTTCTTCTTAGTTGTCTCCCAAATGTTCACTTTTTCCACCAGAGCCTTTATCTTCACTCTGTGCTCCTTTGTTTACGCTGAGAGCTGTCTTCACTGGCGCTTCCCAGAAATGCCGTTTAGGGGCTATTTTTGGTGAAGTGAGCCTGCTGCACGTGACCGCCAGCTCCACTCACGCTCTGACTCAGGCTCCCTCGTGGGCGTCACCGGCCAGGCGCAAGAGCAGAGCGCTGCCCAGCTGCCATGTGCCTTCCGCTCTGCCAGGAAGGCAGCCAGTGCTCTGTAGACAAAGGCCCACTCACCCTGAGACTTTTCCCGTGGGCTCAATCAAAACCCTTTCTGAACAAGCAAGCACCCTGCTTTATTCCCAAATGAGCAGTCCAGAGCGCCCCTGTCCTGGCTCTCACCATTTTCCCCTACACTGTCAGCCACTTCCAGCCGGGCCATGCAAGCAGACACCTCCCCCCGGCCCCAGGAGCCACTGAGGCACTCACTGGCCTGCTTGCCCCCACCTCTCTTCCCACCTCTACTCAAAGGCCCGGGAGACAAGACTTCTTAGTGCTCAGTAAGGCAGGGATTTAGTTGGTTTGTTTTGTTCACTGGTAACAGGAAGTAGCCACTTAATGAGTGTCTATAAAATATGTATCACCACATTATAATGAAATTTGAAATTAAAAGTTGCAAGGAAAAACTTCCGCAATCTAAGCTATGTAGCAGACAGTCATCAGAGCCTTAACTCAGACCCTAACCCAGACCCAAGCCAGTGCAAACAAAGCTGCAACCCAAGACAGGCTGTCACGGGCACAACCAGCTCTGGTTCCTCACTGGCTGCACAGCCAGCAGGACGCTCTCAAGTGCAGGCACCTGGGCTCCTGCAGCTTAAACCTGACCTCAGACAGGTGACCTTCCAGCTGTTACAGCCACTAGACGAGGCCACTGCTTCCAAACTATAATGTGCAAAATGCCTCCAGATCTTGTTAAAAGGCAGGTTTTGACCCTGAAGGTCTGGGGTGGGCCTGAGACTAACCAGCTCCCGGGTGACGCAGGCGCTGCAAGGAGTTCAAGACACAGCAGCTGCCAAGACCTACACACGAAGCGCCCACTGCCTCAGGCGGCACAGGGGCCAGGAATCTCAGCACTGGCAGGGTGAGTGTGGAGAGGGGATCCGCTGGATTCACGACCCCCACTGTCCATTATAGGGGGGTTTCCCCAGCTCATGACATCTGATGGGAAAAACTCTTAGCATCACACATCACTTCTTTGTGTGTAAAACTCACTTTAATGTTCATGGACCAGATGACAACTTTCAGAATGTATTTAATCTTTAAGGTTATTTCATAAAAGATCACCTAACGTCATCTGAAGAGGATGTGCTGACAAGCAGTCAGGCTGAAGCAGAAACCCCCAAATTCCAGCTGCGGCAGAGCGGCTGCCTGAACGGGGCTCCAACAGTTGTGCTTGCCCCACAGACCAGGACACTGCTCGGGAGACCGTAGCGAGCTCCCCAAGCCCACAGTTAATGCGCTGGATGCCCCAACCTCTGTAGCAGTTTGACGACAGCTTCTGGGCCCTTCCCAGAAATATGTTTCAAATGTATAAAAGACACAGGATTGCAAACAATGCCACTCATCAAAGTATTAAAAGACAAACAAGTTTCTCCAACACAGTCAGCAGGTTGGAGGCAGTTGAGCACAGATGGAGGGCCGTGGAGACGCTTCATGTGCTGGGATGAGGCCACCAGGGACAAGGTCAAGGGTTGCAACCACGCTCCACGGTATCCGCCTGCCTTCCCAGGGCCAGGAAGTGCTAGGTTTCCAGTGGGAGGCTAAAGCTGTGAGGGGTCGCCACCCCCCACGGCTACAAGCCCCTTCTCGGGGACAGTCACGTCTGCTGCAGCCAGAGCTGAGGTACCGGGACAGGGCTGCCCTCCTAGGTCTGTTGCTTCTCCACAAACACTGAAGTCCTGGACACATCAGCACAGGCACTGCCATACAAAACAGGCCTGCCAGGGACACGCCTGAGTTGAGGTGTTCTGGGGGAAATCTGTCCTGGCACTGACAGCTCCTTCCGCCCTGCTTCCTCAGGTTCAAATCCCTTTCTCTAACTCCTACAGCTCTTCCACATTTTAACCTAATTTTACTTACAAAGTTTATTTTCCATTGCTCCCTTACCCAGGGGCTCTCAATTGGGAGTAATTCTCCCCTCTCCCCACCTTGCCACATCTGAAGACAGCCCAGGCTGTCACGCAGTGGGTGGCCACCAGGGATGTTATCAAACACCTATAGTTCACATGGTACCCCCAAACATTAGTGCTGAGGCTGAGACGCTCCCCCATCCACCTTGCCACCCCAGTATAAACCTCATGAAGTATAGGGCAAA